TCAGGTCAATGGGCATTTTGCCTTAGCTGTTACAATGTAATAAGGGTTAACCAGAGAGGCAGTTTCTGTAAGCAGGGTAATAAAGATTAGGCTAGAAACAACACCAAAATGTTTCCTTCCTGCCTTCCGTACAGGATTAGCCCTGTAAAGCAGGAAAAAAACAAAAGGAGATTTCTTCCAACAACCGGTTCTCTGAACCTCTTAGAAAGTTAAGAACCGGTTCTCCCAAATAGATGCGGACTGGCTGAATCCCACCACTGCTTGCCCAGTTCCTGCAACCGTTCTTCATATGTTTTAGTCTCCAGTCCCCTAATCATCCTGGTTGCTCTTCTCTGCACTTTCTCTAGAATCTCAACATCTTTTTCATAGTGTGTTGACCAAAACTGGGCGCAGTATTCTAGGTGTGGTCTTGCCAAGGCTTTATAGATTGGTATCAGTACCTCACTTGATCTTGATTGTATCCCTCTGTTAATTCAATTAGAATTGTTTTGGCTATTTTTAGCTTTCGCCACGCATTATTGGCTCATTATTCAACTGGTTGTCCACTAAGACTCCAAGATCCTTCTCACTTGTGGACTTCTGGCTGAGAAATTCTGGTAGCTGAAGTCCACAAGTCTTAAAGTTGCCAGGCTTGGACAACTAGCCAAAGCTAAGTGGGGCCTTTGTGGTTTATTAATTCAGTAAACCATGGCTTAGCACAATGCAGGAGCCCAATCACAGTTTTCAATGTCGCTGTCCACATTTCAGCAGAGAGATCTTGCTTCTCATACCTCCCCCCCCCTTTCCTCTCTTCCCCAGTGTATCTTATTATTCTGCTAAATCTCCAGGAACACAACAAACACTTTATAAAGTATTTCCCGTATCTTAATGGTATTGGATCTGGGTACTTGAGAGACCGCCTGCTGCCAATTACCTCCCACAGACCCATTAGATCTCACAGGGTTGGCCTCCTCTGGGTGCCATCTACCAGCCAATGCCACCTGGCTATTACCCGGGGGAGGGCCTTCTCTGTGGCAGCTCCGGCCCTCTGGAATGAACTCCCTGCAGGGATTCGGAGCCTCACCTCTCTCCAGGCCTTCCGAAAAGCCGTCAAAACCTGGCTTTGCCGGCAGGCCTGGGGTTGATGAGTTCCCCTCCCCTCTCGACATGTATGGTTGTGCAACTGTTGTTTACTTTTATTATTTGTACTTTGTTTTTTATGTTCCCCTTTTTTCCCCCTTGCATTGTTTGCCGCCCTGAGTCCTCCCGGAGAAGGGCGGCATACAAATAATAAAATTCCATTCCATTCCATTCCAATTGTGCCATAAGGCTGTTCCATAGTGAAATAAGTTATTTTCTATTCTCCCAGGTTGACCTATTGCCTGCATTTTTTTAAAAAATTCACTGTGTAGTTTCTTTGCTTTTTATTTGTCTCTGAGATGCAGAAAGATGTTCTGGTTTTGATTACTGTGTTCTAGCTTTTTTCTTTTTTTATTTTAACAGTGTGAATGAATTGAGATGCTGTGGGAGGCAAGGAAAGGAGGATTTACAAGAGTTTCATAATGTATTAACTGTGTTTGTTTATTAACTTCAGTTTTATTCATTACCGTTAATTACATCCCTTATACTAATGGGGTTAATTACAGGCTCCTATGGTAAATCTTAATCACCTTAATTTTTGGTAACTCTAGAATAAGACTATTGTAATATGTTGGAATGGCTTTGAAGACAGCTTATAAATAGTGGAGCAATTCTTCAGCATATTTTAACGGGCCCTATAAACACACAACCTGGGTGACCGATAAACATTGTTCAACCATAATAACAAAGTCATATAGATGGAGAACTATCTTCAAATCCCTTCTAATTCTAAAATGACTATAAATACAGTGGGGAATAATCAGGCGCCCTGAAATTCATCCAAAATATTGCTGCTGGCCTGAATAAGTCCTTGCATTTTTATACTTCTTCACTCCAATAAAGTATTTCTTTATATCATTTAAAGAGATAACATCCCTTAGCGATCCGGAGCCAGATTAACATTAGAAGAAAAATGTCAGAGTCTGAATAACACCTAGGACAAAGAAATTGGAAAGTTTGTGTTCTGACCGAGGCTTCCCAAGAGCATGAAGCAAACTCCTTGTCCCAACAAAAAACCCTTTTATTAATTGACAATTCTGCTTATTCACATCCAGCAAAGTCTTCCAAGAGTGGATTCACAGTCACAGACCTTATCTGGCTTGGAGAGCTGACAGGCCGATATCTGCAAAACTTGGCAAGGAGTCTTGGAGAGACATGAACTAATTAAGCAAACTAGTTATCTCCTGCAAACTCCACTCCCCTTTTGCTCCTCTTTTATTTCCTCTGGGAGGGGCCATTCATTGTCCACCTGTAGTCAAAGTCGACCCCTGTTCTTTAGCTGTTCCCTTCATCTGGCAACTCTGCGCATGTGCACACTGGG